GTTTGTGACGATATATATATATCGTCAAATAGAATATATATATCGTCACAAATATATGATGAGTCGGTGAAACTCCGACGAAACAGTTTGTCACAGCCCCTCGTTTGTTGTCCTCTTCTCTCTCTCTGCCTACGGTTTTACCGGGCAGTTCTGTTTGTGACGATATATATATATGCCAGGTAAACGTAGGCAGAGAGGGAGAAGAGCACAACAAACGAGGGGCTGTGACAAACTGTTTCGTGTGCAAAGGAGAAGGTCGCAGAGCGATGCTACATAGTCCTGCTGCAGCAGCGGGCCAGAGGAAAGATCTTCGATATAAAAGAGATTGCGGTCCTTGCGGATTTCCCCCCCTCTTAAATCCTAGGCTACCAGAGTGGCCCGGGACCACGTGTCCGGAAGGGCCAAGAAAAAAAAAGAAAAAAAAAAACTTTTTCAAAGTTTTTTGAACTTTTTCTTTAATTTATTTTTCTTTTATTTTTTTTTGGTAAAGAATTTCAATGCGAGCCTGAGGCAAAAGTTGTTCAGTTTATTTTTCTGCATAACATTTTTTTTTTTTTTTTTTCCCGCTGGGACCTTCTTTAGTCCTTGCACGGCTGGGCCGCACTGGGCAAACAAGGTGACCCGGGCGGCCCGGCTGGTATCCGAGCTTAAATCTTAATTATATATTTCAAGCCGTTCGTTATCTTTCAGCATCTGTGATTCTTCCTGTACGACAAATCTACATGTCTCTCACAGAGTCGCATCCTTTTCTTTATTTCTTTCTCTCACAGCCTACCTTCGTTCTCGTTCAAGAACTGAGACACCCACGGTGGCCACGTTCGCATAAACCCAATCTGACGAGAATCGTGACAGGAACAGATGGTCTCGATGAGTTTGCAGCCGCTGTTCGATCATTATCCAGCTGGGCTCCCGACCGTCAAAACACTGACTTCTCTCGTTGCTGGAGGTACAATCGCAAAGCTGGCGCTTTTGGGACGAATGCAGTCGTTCATCGTATGTGGTTGCGATGGAGGAGGAGGAGGAGGAGGATGGGAGGCAGGCCTCGTTGTCCCTTCCGAAGGGACGGCGTTCTTTGTCAGAGAGAGGCTGACAGGTGTCAGACCGGGCACCACTTTCCCACGTGTCAGAGAGAGCGCAATCTTGCACAGTACCGTGACCGTCATGACCTACTGCGCCCGAGAGCATGACTCGCGCTTCTTCCAGCGCATTCAAGGCTCCTTGTGTATCATTCTGCTCAACAGCCATCTCCATGTCTTGGGCCAGCTCCACGGCCTGTACCAAATTGGGACACAGAAAATTTGCCGCAAAATGGATTTAGTTTTAGTCCGATTCACAGAATTTGTACAGATGACAGTGCAAAATTGCAAATACATAAGTGCAGACGAAGAAGTTGTAAAGGCGGCTGCTATATTTCTTTTGTCTTAAATAATATCTGACAAGAGGAGGACATAAACCTAAAATTGCCTAAAAAATCAGGGAGGAAAAAAAAAAGCCTAAAATTGCCTTTCCCAGGTTTCCCCCCCTGCCCCCTTACACCTTCAGGAAAAAAAAAA